AGTCTGGATCACATCAGTAACATATCTAACAGATTGAGTTGTTCATCTGAACTGGTTTTGATAAAAAAAATCTTTTACGTCACTTTTCTTTGCTTTTACGACATTTATATAACATTTTAAGAGCATTTTATTGATCAGTTTTGGCAATGTTTTAAGTCATCCAAATCCGCCGCCAAGTCACAACATTCACCGAAAAGCTTTTGGAATCCAAGCTCCAAGTCAAGCGATTCGCTTCATTCCTAAATAGAATACAGTTCGTCATCACGAACGAATAAAGAGAAAGAAAAAAATCTAGAGGTTGGCCAGAGTTATCAAATTCCAAATGCGGAAAGGAAAAGAATGGAAATTTTAAATATAAAGTAATTATATTTACGGGAAAGTAATGGAGATTCTACTCAGTTTAGTGTTATTCTTTTTTAGACTACAAATAGTCCATGAAATGACTTTCTCGCGTGGAATTCCATTTGTGGCACCGTGACCTCTCTCACTCTCTCCCGATCAGAAACTGCAGCAACAGAAAGAATAACGGTGCCCAAATATTCTAAGAAAATTGACTATGCTTCTTAAGTACATAGTAATGCCGTATTTATAGGGAAAATTGAATGTCTCACGATATTCCGTTACATTTTGCTCTGGAGAATTAAGATGCACACTTCATAAATCGAACATTGTTGGTTTAGCAGCGTTGGATGTTAGGAAAGGATGGTATTCCTTCCGTACTTATTTGGCATTTTCTCACTTCATCCCTCCCACAGTGCATTATGCAGTGCACTGTAGGAGGGGTGCTCCTTATTTTCGAAAGAATACACATTTTAGTTCACAAGTTGCGATTTTGTGAAATATTTTGCAAAGTTTCGTTGCTTCGATTAGATACTGTTTTCGGTAATAAGTTATATCCACAGGTCTAAAACAAGAAGGGGAATTGCATTTCTGGACCCATTTTGTCATTGTTTTTTTTACATTCGACATATGTTTACTAGTAAATGAAATACCAGGAGCATTAAATTATAACTCTAATGATATAAGTCCCCAAATTGCCAGGTTAAAAATGGAAGAAATCAGGATAATGAAAATCAAATCTTTTAAAAGACTTTAGAGCCTCTTTCAAATTTTTCAGGGGGGCACGGCCTCCCTGCCTCCCCCCCCCCTCACCCGCTGTGTGCAAGCCTGTGGTTGTAAATTGTTTCAGCTTGACCTTACTGTGTTTTGAATATTGTCATGTACACTTGTAATTAAAAACTTATCGCATAACTAAGAACTTGTGAATAAATATTTACGTGAGTGTACAATAACTGTTGCGAAAAGCTGTGGGCCAAAGTTAACAATTAAAAAAATAACTCAATCTGGCCACTTTTAAACGTACGCGATTTAGATCACAGTCATTTCTTGCTGAACGGAAAGTCACAAATCGGCATTTATTACTTCTCCATTTCGAGCCCTTAATGAAAGAACATTTTAAGAAATTTTAAATAAGGTGTGATTCATTTAAACTGGCGTTTGTTAGATGGCGAGCTGCTTTGATGAAGTTTGTTCTTCATCGTTTTATTCTTTCCTTATTTCTTCTTTTGCGATAGCCCAATTAAAGCGAAAGGAACCGATAGTCCTGACTGAGCTTTTCAAAAAATGTCTGCATTTAGGGCTAAGAGGACCTTAATTATTTTTATCTAACAGCACAAAATTTCCATCCATTACGTTAAACTTGCAAATCATTTTCCTTTGAGGAATTAATATGTGTATCTACATTTTGGAAGGGTATAACTTTCGTAATAGAACATATACATCCATTCGTTTCTCAGTGGGTTCTCGGTTCACGCTTTAAAATTGATTTCTTTCTCACGAATGACACGGCAAAGAAATCTCTATTCACGTTTCGTTTATCGGGATTCACAACAATGTGTACTCTTTGCATATATCAGTGTAAAATATTCCACTACAATCACATCAATTTTACTGACAGATTTCTCTGGTCATTCCATTTTTCAGGCAAATGAGACTCATCCTCTAAAGGATATTCGAACCTCTCAATCGGTTTTCTTTTTCGGAATTAAAAAAAACAAACTTTTGTAATTTATATATAGAGTGTAATAAGTTACTTTTAGTTCTGAATGAGATTGCACGCACAACTATTTTTTTTAAAAAATTGATTGCAAAAAATGTTGGTTTCGCTTATAACCTTCCAATAATTCCTGCACGTTGCACATGCCCTCTTCGCAAATATCAGTCTCTGAAAATGTTCTTCGTTAATTCTACTTCGAAAACACAATTTTGCCATCTTTCAAACTATCAGAAATGTTTGACACACATGGTGTCGGACTCCTTCCTGAGCGTCGGACTCCCTGTTCCAGCCATGCGGAATCTATAATATAGCGGGTAAAGCCATGTGACTCACACTCAGTTGTTCTCTTAGAAAGCTTTTTTATGTCTTTTTGTATCGTTTTATGAAGCATTCTCAATTGAGAAACATTTTACAGAAAAAATATTACTCAATCACGCATCGAAATAAATAAATAAATATATACATGAATGTATAATGGTAGAAATTTCGTGATCGTAACAAGGATTTCTTACAACACGTCATCCAAGTATGATGATTGTTTAATTAAGATCATAATGTTCTGTTTTTTGTTGTTGTTTATTATTATCGGAAATAATTTATTTTGTCAATTCTGAAACATGCTTGTAAAGAATGTGTGAATTAAAATGTAAACAACTCTTTGATCATGATAGAAAAAAAAAGCTGCCAACGTTTTCGCTTTCGTGCTCTTTTTCGTTCAACTCACCTGAGCACCCCGCTGCTCTAAATCTCCCGGTGCCGTCACTCGTTAACGCAGACAGAAGAATCTGCCGTCCATCCGACAAGATGGCGGTCGGCCCGTGGACTGACATTCAAATCGATGCCCGAGCAAAAATTGACACATGTGGGTGTCTCGCCTCAGAGGGTTGCAGCATCACCTGCGGTGGTCGCCGCCGTGGCGCGGGGGAGGGGGCCCAGGTGGGGGCCGGAGAGCGCAGGCGCGAGGCCACCGGTCACTCTATCGACCACGGCCCCCTCCCCACGACACGCGGAAGGTTCAACGCCTCCGGGAAGGGAGCCCGCTCCCACCGCACCGGGGGCAGTCTCTCGCCCTTTTTTATAACGTTTTCTGCAAAGTCACTGCCACCCCTTTTCCCTCTGACAACCAGGAGGCCGCGCACAAAGAATACTTGTTCATTACTGCCCTTTTAGAACATTATTGTAAATATAACAAATTGTACAAATGTATCTTAGAGTGTAAGAGATTATGGATTTGAAAAAAAAGTATTTTAATTGTAGAATTGTGGGGGTGTTTTCACAAAATTTAACTACAAGCTTTCAATTTTAAGATACATTTTCTAACATTTTCAGATCTCAGATAACTCTTGGTTTACCAAAAAAAAAAAAAAAAAAAAAAAAAAAAAAAAAAAAAAAAAAAAAACATTCATGTAATACAGCAAATTTGTTTTTGTGCTACATTCAACTTCTAAAATTTGATTTAATGAAAGGACTGGTCAGTAATTTTTATTTTTTAGAGCAGCAGCAACAGCAAAATTTGCTACATGTTCCAAATCACCAAATGACCGCACCCAAAAGAAATCAGTTATAAACACATTTTATATATTCAATGATGTGCATTTCATTTATTAAATGTAATGTTATAGATACCTGCATGTTCATATAATTGCATTTTTCTTCTTAATTTAATAATTAAAATTTTGGAATTTTAGGCTGTTCAGAGGACAATACAAATACTAGGGGTAGATTCAAGGGAGGGGCAAGGGAACCCCCCTTCTCCAGCCAATACATTTTTTGTAATTTTACTCAATTGATTGAAACCAATTACCACACATTGATTGCATTAGATCCAATTCCCAAATAAATAAACAAACATGTTTTTCAGGCAAAAAAGAAAAATCAAAAAGATTTGTGGGAGGGTCTGAAGTGAAGTTGCTTCCTGTCTCTCACACCCCTCAAAATTATTTCTGGATCTGGCCTTAACAAATGTCATCTTTATAGTCATATTTACAATAATTACACGATTTCTTTCCTCTTGTGTGCTTATTATGAACAGAGAATATGTTTCAACAATACTATTTTTAACGGTGTATCATTTTAGAATTGGCCATCTTGGGATCACGCAGCCTACTGGGGCTCAGTCATATGTATCGAGGATAGATGCACACGACTTCTATGAGGGGGATCAGCATTTTAATGCTAAATCCCAGGGTCTTTATTCCTGGGAGTATAATATAATATTAATATTTATAAAACTCTTTGGTGGTAGCTGGTTTTGAAAAGCAGCTGTGAGCTGGCAGAAATGTCACTTTTTTTCAGAGCCTGGACAAAACATTTCTACCTCCGTATCTCAAGCATATGTTAGAGTTATTTAAGTATTTTGATAACATAACATTGCTAACTATTTAAAATTAAGCTCTAAAATGTTATACAAATATGTTTTCCAGTTTAAAATACATCCACGTCAAACTGACAATAACTACACCTAAAACTTTAGTTAATTAAATAATTTATATATTTATTTATTCATTAAATAATTTATATTTTATGAAGTAATTTAGTGTTAATTTATTTTTTCAAGTGTAAAAATTTCACGGATACATCCATAAACAGTATCAAAAAACAAAGTGAGGTCGCGTAGACGAATAATGAATAAGTACGAAAGCATGCACAAAATGAATAATACCATATTCCTCTATTCCTGCCATTGCCATCACATGACACTTCCGTATTTTCTACTATGAAACTGTTTGATTACTAAAAGATCTTTGAAGTACTGCCAAGGGTACAGATTGGTGCTCTGAATCTCAGACTTCAAGAACTTAAATGGCCAGCATTTTAGCACCACATGCCAGAATTGAGACTGCTCCATACCTATGTCAATGCATGCAAGCATGTTGAAGAAAGGCTGAGGGAGACATTTTAAAGGATCAATTTTTTGGTTTGTTTAAGTTGAGGACAACACAGATACCTACAGGGACACAGCTTTATTTCTGTACATTTTTACATTTTCATGATATGCAACTTATGTAAATGGATATGAAAGTCTGAAAGCCACATAAATATAACAAGATATGCACACCAATATGGTATTATTTTACATTATTGTCAAATCTGTTCGCAAGTTAAGAATGTCAATAGCTTTGTCTGGGCTCAACGTGTGAACCCCCACGTCTGCCAGAACCTCAGCTGCCTGGGGGCCATCATCAGTAGCATCCTCTTTCTGACTCAGTTTGAGAGTCTCTCTTAAGAGAAGAGCTGTGCCCTTTGGGAGATTCAAAAGCAAACAGGCTTCTTTCACACTGCAGAAGAAAAAAAGGGTAACAAACACAGAAGCACAGAAGTTTCGATCTCATAAACAGAACATCATTTAGACACTTACGGAGCAAAATATGTATCGGGTTTCTGAGTGTATTGTCCAAAAAGGGGAAATAAATTACGTGTCATGTCATACTGGAGTTGCATTGCTCCTCCCTCATTGAAACTGTTCTGAAGAATTACCTCTTCATATATGAACTGAAAAAGTTAAGATTAAATTACTCTCATTGGGAAATGTCGAACTTCATTTTTCATGAAAAACAAATACCTATTTTACCTGACTCATATTCTTTGCTAAAGTTTGCCAAGCTGACAAGAATAAAGGAATACTAAGTATTTCCTGTAACTGATGTAATTTGGCAGCCAAGACTTGGAACATGGGGCATGCTGTGGGTGTTACAGATGGATTCACGAGTTCCTTTGGGGAAGCCATTGCAAACCACCTGAAAAACAGTAGATTTACCATGTTATTGAAGCACTCAATATTATTGTTCTGTTTAACATAAAAGAATTAGTTGTTTACTACTTTGATATCTAATTTAATGCTAAGCTTTACAAAAGTGTCAAGTGTATTTCAAGAAGAAGAAAAAAAGTGGAGAGGCAATTTTTAACAATACACACAATATAATTCTAGTTGGTTGATATTCTCTAAATATAGGAATGTAATAAAGCTATTTCATCTAATTAAAGAAAGAAAGAGAAATTTTGCTTCCTTTATACATACTTATCTTTTCGGTATTCACGGCTACGTGCCATAACATCCATCATTACAGCTTCACATAACTGCCCAATAAGTTCTGACTTGGTACGGAGTAAATACGCAAGAATATCATCAAACACTGTCCCTTCTAATTCTTCAAGATCAGGATCCTGACATGGTGAAATGTGGTCCTCACCATCATGTACATGAGTACTTGAGTGATCAAACCGAACTTTGTAATATTGCAAATGCAAAAAATGCTGAAATAATAAAAATAACATTAAAAAAAGCAACAAAATATTAAAAAATGTAGAGTAGAAAATAAAAAAATATATATTAGAGAAAAAAGGAGATAGTTACAGTAAGGCCTCCCCATTCCTGCAGCACAGAGGCCAAGTAGCTGAGAGTATTCAGGATGGCAGGCAGACGACTGCTTAGAGGGTCAGGAGGTTCTTCGTGGAGCAACTGCAGCATTCGCACACGGAAGTCATCCAGCAACTCCAGTTGCAAATCCAGAAATTGCAATCTATGGGTGGAAATAATTATGTATGAATTTGGCATTTTAGGGTGGCATTAATCTGACTTCCAAGCCTGGGCTCGGTTGTTCTTTAGTATCCATGCCTCAGGGAAAAGGGAAACTTGTGGTGATCATGATGCACTCCCATCACCGTATATAGTTTACTCGGCCAACCTGAGCTTTTTCTTTTGTCATACAGCAATTAAAACAGACAATTTGTATAAGAAAGATACAGCTTCACTTTTGCCCTAGCCAGGAATTGAACCCAGGATTGCCTCACAAAATGCTAGCATGTTATCTACGAGCCATCTGAGAGGCTTAGATTTCTATTTACTTCTTTAAATAATGATGGAATATCAGACGTGTAATATGCAATCTTTAGTCAACAATGGCTAGGGTGACTACCTCTCTGAATTTCACATGGGGTGTCATGATTAAGGGACATAAAAGAGATTCTCCTGGCTCCAGGTTCAATCGCTCTCAATGAGTTTATATTATAGCACATTTGAATGACTTGTACGTTAGTTGTAGATTAATACAGTTTCTACACTGTAATAGATTGATAATGTATTTATAATACAATTTCCATCTTTAATTTAAAATTAAAAATTGAAAGACGTATAAACTCTTCGTTTTAATGGTTGCTCAACACCATTGACTGCTTTGTTGATAACTGAATACTAATTCAATCATCTAAATCAAATTTCTAAATAGAACTTTTGAGACTGGTGGCTGCAGGGGACTTTTTAGTCCTCTGGATGAAGAAGTAATATTGCCTTATAATTCAATCAAGACTTTTCTTTTGTTTGAGCAAAATTGTTATAAACCCTATTGAGTTTCTTTGCTATAATGGAGCTCATAAAATATTTCACATGAAAGATATAATGGAAACTTTAGTGCATTGCTATAAACACAAACATGATAAAAAAGAAATTTGATTCCATACCTGTGCCCAGGCTGAGGTAGGCTGCTATATCGTTCTGTAATAGTAAGAAGTAAGCTCAAGAAACTTTCACCGCATTCGGTCACTCGTAATTCATCAAGCTCTGGGGTGCCCAATGGTAACCAAGCTGTTTCAGAGCTTAACATTGCATCCATTTTCTCTGTTGCATCTGTAATATTGAAAGAGATCCATATTAGAAACAGAACATACAGATTTAAGACCTCAAATCTCTTAGTGATTCCCTACATTTCTTTTCCATATGAATCCATTTGACAAAAATTTGAGCCTGTGTGAGTACACCTATGACACTTGGTTGGGATGAAGGATAATTGAAACTTTCTCGCAGTTCTCGTTCAAAGCCAAGTGTCTCATCCACTGTATGAGAGAACAGGACATCATCATATTGCAAATGTGGCAAATCTGCATGAAGCTTTTCTACCACAACTTGAACAAGTCCTCTAATAAGTTCAACCTGCAAAAAGTTCAATAGACAATCAATACATAAATATTGTTTGAAAAATCAACAAATAGCAGAAATAATATTTCTGTAACAATTTTGATAACACTCGAAAATCATTCTGACATTTGAAACTTCTTTGAAACAAAATTTCTCAAAATATCAAACAAAACCATGAAGTATATTAATGTTTTGTAATGAAGAAAGCCTTTATCTATCAAAATATTTGTTTGGCGTTATGTCTGTTTTCTTCTAAAGACTTTCACATTTATATGTTACACCTATTTAATTTTTTATTCAATTCAATATTGTACTCATGAATACTCATAGAGTGAATGCAAGTGGTGAACAAATGTTTATTTAAGTAAAATGTAAAAATAATGTATAGAATACAATTAAAAATCAAAACATTCACAGAACTGTCTACAAACTAGTATATCTCAACTCATAAATCAAATCATATCTCTTCCCTTCTTGTTGTAAAGTTAAAAAAGCAGAACAATAAAAAAAGTGTTGTCTCAGTTATATTTTATATTATACTTTAGTAAGGGAAGTCTTGTTTTTCTACATGAGCTTTTGATTGCCTGTTTGATTTGTTCCCTACACAGTGTACAATACTCTCTACAAAACAGGGGATAAAAGAAATGATTATTGATTAGTTGGTACTATATGATTATTTTTAATATATATAGAAGTATTTATACTTTCCTTTCTTTTTTGTACTTCTGTACTAGCATTAGGGACAATTGCCATATATCTGCAATTTTTGAAAACTGTGTGAATGGTCACTGTTTATGTCTGTCACCTCTATGGCTTGGCGTACTTTAAAAATTATTAATACTTTTATTTTCTTCATTTTATTCTTTAAATTCTATTCTTTTCTATCTAAGCTTTCTATCTAAGCTTTTATTCATATATTAAGAGTGGTTCAATAGTCTATAAAATTGAAACAAATAAATAAATAGCTTACTTTTGCTGAGATGTGAGTTATGCCCAATTTGTTGAGAGTGGGTTGAACCCATTTCCCCACAAACTGTTCATGATCACGTATCCAAATCAGTACCTGAGTGAAATACCATTCTGGTTTGTCAGGCCTATTTGTTTGTTTTGATCCATGGAAATGAAATAGAAATCTCTTCCTTAGAGGTCGCAGCAATAAGCTCATGGGTAAAGTAAGAGGGGCGAAGTCCACTAATAATGTTGATGTTACAACCGAATGAACCGTCAAATTGTCACTTTACAAATTAAGCAAAATACACATCACAATTCCACTCCCAAATCAAAATTAATATCTTCAAAAACTAAATAAAAGCTAATCTCAAAAATATTAAATATTTAAAAATTTATGAAAAGGATACGGAAGTTGGATGTGCACAAGATGCTCTATGAGGTTTTGAAATTTTTGTAAAGATTCAGAAGTAGGAGTGGCCAAAAATGAGTTACTACTTAAAAAGGGCCACTTAATAGCTTTTAAAATTTCTTCAAATTCTCTGAAACAATATAATTAAAATTACCATTCATAAATTTCTTACAGAAAAGTTATGGGTTACTACAGCTTACTTATTCCAACATGTAATTTTCACTAAATTGATACTAACGCTGAAAACTTCTGTTTCAATAAGTTATGCCAAAAATGAATAATGTCATGAAGATATGACACAAGGTGCTGGTATTTTGATCCTTCAAGTTGTTCATTCAGTTCACATAAGGAAATGAACAGTTGGACACTTCTCTGGTCATCTTTTTCAGATAATGATGATTCCAAATTATTACTGAAAGTATGAAAACCATCAGAATGATCCAAACATTAAATATAACATTTTAGTTTCTATTTACCCAAATAAAATCTAGAGGACAAAAAAATCGTACAAACCTTAAGTCTTCAATTATTTTGACGCATTGAAGATAAGCTACACTTCTCTCCAGATACTCTATTTTCTCAATATATTCCTTCATTTTGTTATTCACAGCTTCAACTTTTTCCAACTGATTTGTTACTGTACAGCTTAAAGAGTCAAAGTCAGCTGATAGCTTGTTGATTTCATGACTAGTCTCTTCAACATTTCGAATGGCAGCACTTACTTTTGATGGTACTTCACTACTAGCAAGAGAGAGCTGAAAAGACGTGGAATTTAATTTAATTGAAAGAAAAGTTGCAATAGGGATAATAAATTGATTGAATTATATAAAAAAACTCACTGATTTTTCTATTTCTGACTTTTGATTTTCCAAACGCGTTTTCAACTCATGACATTTTTTCAGGTCTTTAACATCTTTAAACTCCTCATTTAATGATTTAATTACTTTCTGTTTAGCCTCTTCCATTGTTTAGGAGTAGTAAAATAAAATTATTTCGATTGCAACATTCAGTCTTACATCAATAAAAATTCACATCAGCCCGACGGTACACGTTCATTTTCATACTGAACCTTGTGAACACGTTTAAAAGAATTAATCATCTTTTAGCTATAAACACAAGTTCATCGACGTATCTACTTCATCACTTGACAGCTACAGTAAAGTTGGCATGCCACGTAAGCCCTTCAAAATATTTAGAAACGCGACAAATCGAAACAATTATAATTTATTGTATATTGGGAAAAGATTCAATAGAGGATATCAAAGTGATTTTTAAAGGACAACTTCTTGCAAAAATATGTATGTTACTCGAAATTTCTACTCCGGAACATTGGAACCCTTGGCTACTACCGTCAGTTTTACCAATATCACGCAACTATTGTATAGTTCGCCGAATTGGGACGCTCACGTGTGCGGCGCTTGTATAATTGTGATTGCCTGTGTCCTGTTCAATGTGTACCCACAGAATCATTAACAGCAAACGTTGTGAAAAGTGATAGCTGTGAAAAGTGAAAGCTCCACTGTGAAAATGAGTAGCAAGAAAAGTAAACTGAGGGAAATGTGAGTATAAAGATTGCTCTGAGAGAGCAATTTCTAACCTATCTTGTTGTTTATTGATTATCTCTTGAATTCAAATAATTAATCAAGTTAATTTTCTTATTTTAGATATGAAGTAGAGAGTAAACATGGCCACTTTTTTACTGGTGGCATAGTTCAGGTATGACTTTTAGAAATTGCTGAGCATGTGCCGATTGCAGGTAGGTTTAAATTCTTAATTACATTTGTCTCTGATCTTCTGTACAGTGGACCAAGGATGGCACAACTCTTCTTTGTCAATGTGATGGCATAATTAATGTCTTGGATATTAGTAAAGGCGTGGTGACATCATCCATTGGCAAACCAGATCAAGAAGAAGTTGAAGACACAATTTACAGTTTTGCTCTCAGTGAAGACAATGATAAACTTGTATCAAGCCACAAAAGTGGGCTTCTAAAGTTGTGGTCATGGAAAGGTTGGCAATTTGTGTTTTTAAGTTTTACACTTACCAATGTTTACCAAGTTACCAAGTTTTACACTTTCCCGATCGAAGCCGTGGATTTTTATGGGCGAAAAAATCCTTCGTACGCCTTCCTTCGAAGGGGAAGTAAAGCCGGCTGTCCCATGTTCGTAGATTTACTTGCATGTAAAAGATCCTCAAGCCTAAATGACGCCTCTGAGCTAAATTCAAATCGCCTGTTTCTCGCCCAAGAAATACCTCCTTTCTCTCCTAGTTGGTGAAAGGAGCGTAGCGAAATTTGCGTGGTCAGACGGAAGAGCGGGCCTGATGGCCCGAGTCTCGCCACGTAAAATAAGGCAAATTCAATTCAATTCAATGTAAAATTAAATTTTAAAATTGCAGGTTATATACATTTTAAAGTCTTTATTTGTGGATATGTAATAATCAAAGTAAATAATTCAGTAATTTCATAGATGTCTGTGTATTATAATTAGATATTTGATGTATGGCACTATAAACTTGAGTTTTAATCTTTCATATGCATCAAAGAATTTGAAACAAGGAGAGGAAAAGGTAGTAAAAACTCAAAATATAGGAAAGAATCTAATTCATTTGTTGAAACCAAATCTTGTGAATTACTTTGAAATGAAATTAAAAAAATATAGCCATGAAAATACATCATGAATACATCATTAATCATAATAAAACATGAGCATTGAATTGTGTGAATACATGAAAAAATATTGATTAATGAATGAAATTCTGGAGGCAATTCGTAATTCAGCTAAAACAAACAGCTTCAAACTAGAAGATTGTAGAAAGTATTAGAAGGGACTGGGTCACTTATTATAGGAAGAAATGTACAGCTGTATAATAGTTACAGTAATCAATTATCCGTAAAATAAATAAAGGCTGTAGAGCTGGTCAAGATGGCTGAAATCGTTCGGGCAGAAGTGCCATAGCTGTCTCGGACAAGAAGACCGAGAGTTCCACCACAGGCATTGGTGTAGTGTATGTTTATATGTGTGTACCGTCCTTTCATCACTCACTATCATCATTTCATTGTCCATACCCCCAGGGCTAACAACCTTGGGGTATAAAAATCAGAATTCAGCTAAACTGCTGATCCGTCCCTGATAATGGTATTTGCTCCTGCTGAAGCAGGCTGCACATGTGGTCTGAGTTGGCCTGTGCATGGCAAAAAAAAAGGATGCGGGAGCGGGCTGGCTATAGAACTATGGAAGAGAAAAGAAGTGAGAATATTATTATACATGTGTTTCTCTGTTGTAGATGGAAAAGTTGAAAAGTCTTGGAAGAGTGTTCATAAAGGGCATGTGGTGAGTCTTGCTTTTAACAAAATGGACAACATGGTAGTAAGTGGGGGGACTGATGCAGGGGTGCGCTTGTGGGATATAATCCGTCATACCTGTGTTTGCAGTCTACGTGGAGCTCAAGGAGTGATCAAGTAAGTGTTCAAATGTTTGCATATGGTTGATTGCTATTTCCAGCAGGAAAACATTGAGGATGCATTATATTTCCATTCCATTGAAAAGCATATTACATTAATTAAGGTCAGTGATTGTGTATCACGAGGAACTTTTTTATTCCACATTCGTTACATCAGTACATAATAACTGTGTACATAGTAACCATTGTTACATAGTACATAGTACCCTCGTTACAAAAGCATTCTATTGTCTGTAGTATAACAAAAGTTTATGTATTCTTTGCGCAAATGCTTAACTGGATGTACTCAGAATCTTCCTTGACCATTTCATCTTTGTGATTTTATAAGAATTCTGCAAGATGTACATATTAAAGAATAGATTGTGTGGGGATGTGAACAAATCAAATTCTTCTGTATCCACCTGAAAAGCTCCTAATTGCCCACCAAGAAATCATTTACATTACCAATGGAGTTTTCATTTACAGTACTTCGCTAATTTGTCGTTGGCAATACTTAGATAATCATTTGGCAAGAAGTGTTATTGATTCCTAAATAGATGTTGTATGTTACTGAAGTTACTATGTCAGTTGTTTATGATCCATAAGGTTTCACAGATATTCAATGTAAATTTATTTGTGTGTATATAAATAAATAAATAAATCAAAGATACAGAATGTGAAATGTCAAGTAAACCTTGTTGTGGGCCAGTTTCTACCATTCTAAGAACTCTGTTTCTTTTGTAATTTTAGTATTGTGAAGTTTCATCCAAATGAAGAAGTTCCTCTGGTGTTTGCATCTGGAGATGATTCTGTTATCCGTGGTTGGGATGTTAGTACTGGAAAATTAGAAGTGGTATTGTCTGGTCATTACAGTAGAGTAACTGCAATTGTTTTTCATAGCAATAATAAACATATTGTGAGGTAAGTGTTCCTGAGAACTTTTTTATTGCACATGAAAATATATTTTTTGAGCTTTAAAAATTCTCTGTTTTTGCCGGTTGTGGTAGCAGTAGAGCCAGAGATATAGTTCACTATTTTCTTACAAATAATATTCAGTTCGTTTACTAATGCAAATAAGTTGTCTGTGACTTGGGAGTGAAAAAAGTCTATTTTCAAGTGTTACTAACCTCGCTTTGTTAGTACTTTATTCAACATTCAACTCTTTAGGGTTAAGGGGTGAACAGATTCCAAAGCTCAAGAAAACATGTATTCTTCTGCCCCAAACATAGCATACAATTTTTTACTGTTAATTGACAAAATAAATCTAATCATACATTTTACATGTAAGCATTTGTATTTGTTAAACAGTTGTGGACGGGATAAAGTGATAATTTTGTGGCATTTTCAAAAACAAAAAGCTATGAAGACATTGCCAGCTTATGAAGGATTAGAAGGGATGGTTCTCCTCTCAACCTCATTTTCTCTCCCGGGTTATGAAAGTCCATTTGAAAACGGCAAGTTTGTTGCTACAGCTGGGGAGAAAGGTATGAAGATTGATTGGTTTTCTTTTTTATTTAAGTAAGAGAAAAATTTAGAGAATGATTTTTTGTTAATAGAATGAAAACTTAATTTGATCATTAATGCTTTTTAATCAAACATTTTATTAAACAAATTGCATAAAAGGCAAGGAGTGGAGGATTGGAGTGATTAATTCAACAGGATTCAAATTAACAAGTTCATATTCCTTGAAAAGAATCTTTCTGTTCTATCCATTTATTGGAAGTGACAGTGCATTAAGAATCTAAATACATTACTTACTTTCATTATTTATACTTCAGTTTCAATTTTATAATATTCATTATCCTTAAGAGGATTGTATATAAATAATAAAAACAAACATGTGAATAATATGTAATGAAAAATGGGTCCAGGCAGAATCAAAAATTTAGTAAAACAAATAAAAGACTAGATCACTTTTTTTCTTTATCATTCCTATCAAATTCAACCAATGTTTTTAACTGTAGGCCCTTCTGTATATCTTAAACTCTAAACTGTTGTTTATATCTTATTTCTTTATCATAGGTATCATTCGAGTTTGGGACATGACAGAAGGACGTGAAGTGTATGCTCAGCAGAATTCTCTTGTGTCTAATGCTCAAGCTGGAGGTTTCTCAATCACTGATCTTCTATACTGTGTTGCAAGAAACAGTTTTGGTGTAGTCACCGCAGATCAGAATATCATTTTCCATAATATAGAAACTTTTGAATGTGAAAAACAGGTTAGTCATGGGCATGAAAAGTGCTCAGGATTGAAATATTATTTAATGAATTCATCTGAAAATGTTTCTGTTAAATTAAAAGAGGCTTAATCTTTTCATGTTGTTTATTACAGTTGGTGGGATTCACAGATGAAATCCTTGACATTGTGTTTGTTGGTGAAGGTAACTCTCATTTGGCTGTCGCTACAAATAGCATTGATATAAAATTGTATGATATAGCAGAGATGGGTTGTCAGCTGCTGAAAGGTCACACTGATCTGGTTCTTGCTTTGGCTACTACACAGAGTAATCCAAATATTCTCTTATCATGTGGAAAGGTAAATTTTACAAGAGTGAAATATGCTATGAATGCTAGAATAGAATATATAAATCTCATTGTTGCAGGACAACAGTGTTCGATTGTGGATGATGGATAAAGAGAATGTGATGAAGATTGTTAGTGTTGGAACACGACATACGGCTTCAGTTGGGAGTGTTGCTATAAGCAATTTGACTACCTCATTTTTCCTGTCAGTAAGTGAAGATACGTGCATCAAACTGTGGTCTCTTCCAAAGAACTTGCAAAAAGGTTAGATTTAATGGTTCAGTGTGTTTACTTTTACTTTTTTATCCTTTATTTTGTGCTTTAATACTTTGTGCTTTTCTTTTATAGCTTCATCAGAAGATCTTGTTGTGACTAATACTCAAATTGCTCATGAAAAAGATATAAACTGCGTGTGTGTATCTCCAAATGACAAAATCGCTGCAACTGGATCACAAGATCGAACTGCTAAGGTATATTACCTATATTACCTAAGTTATTACCTCTATTTACAATGCATTTACTACTTGCTTCCTGTCTTTGTCATGGTTTTCTCTTTCTTTTTTACTTTTTAATATATGTACATATTATATGGGTAAATATATTGTACATAGTACGGAGAAAGTTATAAAAAAATTTGGAAAAATACCGTGATTTAACGAAAAATAGCCGCTAAATCCTGCTCCAATCAGTAGTATATTAATACCATTTCAAGAACCAACAAAGTACGGATTTTGGCTACACCTCATGTTAGAGGTTACACCTCATGTTAGAGAATATTGGCTACACCTCATGTTAGAGGTAGTGATTTATTATATAAGGGATTAAGATTTATCTTTTTTTTTTCATTACTGGGGCCTGTTGATAAAAGTTTTTCTGGCGCACAATCGTATTTTCGATTCTTATGAAGTAAGAGCAAGAAAGGTAAAACAGAGCCACCATTGCCGTAAATAATGTAAAAGCTCATCCTAGCCTTTTGTTTTTACCTTTTCTGCATTTTACCCTTTTTTCCGTTAAGTCACCTGAAGAGTGTAAAAATACTGTATGTATGTATTTATTATTATATATATGTACTATATGTATGTCTTTATTATTATGTTGTACGGTATGTATTTTTTGACTGTATCATGTCATATGCTTAAGACTATGTGTTATATAAAATGGGATTTGTTGAAATAATATTTTTTAATTACACAAAATCCTTTACGAATTGTAAATGGATTAAATAAAGATAGTTTTTTAACATGTTGTCCTTCTTTCTAGTTGTGGTGTACAGAATCCCTTGCCCTCCTTGGAGTACTTCGGGGGCATAAGAGAGGTGTGTGGTGTGTGAGGTTTAATTCTGTGGACCGTGTTCTCCTCAGCACTTCTGCTGATTGTACAGTGAAGATATGGTCATTAGATGATCTCTCATGTCTGAAGGTAAAAGTTTTAGAGAGAGGAAAGGAGAGAGGGTGTATGCAAGTGAGATTATATTTGTATGAAAAAAATATTTAGGTGGACACACTCCAGCCAAGAATTTATTGCTCCTTTTGAAAATACATGTCTTACTTTGTGTAAACTTTGTTTAGTTGAATGAGGGATGCAATAAAAAATCTTGGTGTAGCTTGTATCTATATAGAAGAAGAAATCCACATTAAATATCAAAATTCGTACTTTTAGTTGTTCAAGAAACTGAAACTACTTCAAATTGAGACAGAAATTGATGTATTTTCTTACCTCGTTTTATTTACACTCACTGCTTATAAAGTTGGTACATTTTTTATCCACTTCATTCTAGTTTGCTTGGACATATGTAGAAATGACATTTTGTAGAATTTAAAGCAATTTCAGGTGCTTACTGCCCAACACAAGAAAAACCTCTTGATATTCGCATGCAATATCTCAGTGCTTCGATATTTTACTTGGGGACTTACCAAATACCAACACTTAATTTACAGAGCTATTACTATTAACTATTAATGAAGAAAAGAGCATGGAGTCTAATGGGGCTTAAGGAGTCTTAAGTTATGCCACTTTTTCTAGTTTCAAGGCTGAATGAAGTCGGCTGTAATATTTTGTCAGTAGGTACTGTTATCACAAGATAAGATGTTTTTTGTCTATAAAGTTACTAGATTATTGAACACAATTCTTAATTTTGCATGAATGTTTTACTATTAAAAAGATGAGCTTCGTAAGGGGTGCCTCACAAAGGTTATTACAATTATTAAATTGTTGAAGTCTTACATATTAGTGGATTGTTGCAGTCTAGCGAAACAATTAAAGGATATGTTCACCAAGAAAAAATCCCAGAATTAATTGTTTTAATTCTGATATTGTATTAAACGCTCTCTCTTACATTTATTCCCTCATATTTCTCAAGAGTTTTTGTTTCAGACTCTTGAGGGCCACGAAGCATCTGTGCTACGAGCAGAATTTATTACTCGTGGATCTCAGATACTGAGTGCTGGAGCTGATGGTTTACTTAAATTATGGGTTATCAAAACCAGTGAATGTGTGGGAACGTTTGACGAACATGAAGGTAAAATTTGGACAATGGCTGGTAAGTCAAATTTTTTGTTTGTGGTGTAGTGGTGAAGAAATGAAAAATAGCAAGAGAAAACCCTAGATTGGTTTTTCTTCTTTAACATATGTGAATATAAGATATGTCTTCACGATAGTCCTCATGATGCATAAAACGAAAGTAGAAAAATGTGATTCTATCATATTTTATTGTATGATATGAAGTAATGTCACTTCATTCATCACCATAAATCAACGTAATATATAAAACTTAAAAACATGAACATAAGCCATAGAACAATATTAAAATAATATTAATAACTAGTGGTAAGCTGTAGTGCTCTACCATATTTGATTCAGTCAATTATAAAAACCCATTGCCATTTATAAGCTGTATCATGACGTGAGTTATATCTTAGTATTAAACATAAAAATATTTACAGTACTTGTAAAATTATTGTCAATTTTGTTGAGAATTGTTTAATTCAAATATGAATTTAATGAAATTACTTAGTGAAATACAAAATTGGTTAATATTTTTACTAGCCTATTTTTCAGATCTTTACCGCTGCACAAATATTCAAGAAATATTAACAATTTAATAGTGATAGCTCTTTACTCAATATTTTACATTTTAGTTCAGAATGATGGAAAGGGCCTGATAACTGGAGATTCAGATTCAATGCTTGTCAAATGGAAGGATGTGACAAAAGAACGCCGAATGGAAAAATTGAAGCAAGAAGAGCAACTTCTGTTGCAAGAGCAAGAGCTGTCTAATCTATTACACAGTGAAGAACTATTGTCTGCTTTAAAGTTAGCTTTAACTTTTGATCGACCTCTCACAGTTCTCAGAATAATACAATGTAAGTGCAGTGAAAATACTACAGTATTTGCATGTTTGGAAATGTGAATTTCTGTCTCATTCAGGTTATTGTATTTCTGTTGAAAGTTATCTTCAATTATAAATATTATTTATTTTATTGAAAAAGAGCACTCTTTCTGCTTGTACTAAGCAAATACAACCGTGGATTTGATTGTGCTTTTCAATGACTTATAATTCACCTAAAAGGTTTCAATTTTAATTTCAGCTGTCATGCAGAGAGGAGGATCTGGTTTAGCAGATACTATCAAAGAACTGAATAATGAGCAGAAGGAGAAACTTCTAAAATGTGCTGTTTCATGGAACACCAACAGCAAAAACAGTCAGCCTGCACAGGTTGGTGTTTTATTTTGGAGAAAAAAGGTTGGATTAAAATGGAATCATTTAAAGAATTTTGCAAAGAATAGGATAAGCAATCTTTTTTATTATTTTGTGTTTATGATACAGTTGGTGACCATTAGAAGAAAATTTTGGTTTTCATATAGACATCAATATTTATTTAGCATGTTTTCCTGAAATTAAGTCGACTAAATATAAGACAACCCCTTAATTTTGAAGAGCCTTTCTGAAAATTTTGAAAAATGTTAACCAAACCTTACAATTTAGTCAAAATAAAATTTCAGGTTGTCTAATTGACTAGAAAATTGTTTTGTTGATGAGAAGGATAAAAGTTATTACTCGTGTTATCCTTTTCTTGTTTCTTAAAATCATCATATTCTAGGTTTTTGTCACTTTGTCTTCATATAATGTTATTACCCAAATATAAGTTGAGTTTTTTCCAAAATACCCCAGTTGAAAAATATAGGGTCATCTTAAATTTGCAGATTAAGCCTGGCCTGAAAATAGTAGTTGGTTAGGGTGTACGTTTTTACTTTGCTATTCCGGGTCACAAACTCGTAAATGATGTAACAATAAACTGTGAAGTTGGCTAAAATATCGGGTGTATCTATAATAAGCAATAATTTCGTATTTAATTATCACAAATTACATAATTGATTACAAATACACTTTTTTTCTTTTATTATTATTATTATTATTATTATTATTATTATTATTATTATTATTATTTTTGCCGAGGAGAGGGAAATGTGTTACCCATACCGGTAAGTTTGGTTATGTTGGACTCTCCAGCGTGGGACTGAAACCTAACCTCCTCGATTCACATGGACCGTGGTATCTTCTGTGCGGGGCCATCGTTGAGACATTAACGCTTCTTCACTCAGAAGATTGGCTGAGAGCATGAGCTTTCCTCTTCAGATGGTCGCTATTGTATTTTAGCTCTCTCTACTTTTAGTAGTGGCTTTCTGTGAGCCATGAAGTCTCGCACTGTTTTCCTGTTGTCTCTGGATTGCAGCAGAGTCTGGGCTGTGTTTGCAGGTGTTAATTCCCATCGCAACTTGCTGTAGCAGTTTCTTCTTTCTTCCTCCCAAGCTTTGCAACTATATATGGTGTGCATAGCGTCGTCGCCTTCTTCATGACATAGGGCGCATATCAGGCTTTCAGCAATTTTAAATCTGTATAGATATGCTTGAAAGTTCCCATGTCCTGAGAAGGCTTGCGTCAAGTAGAAGTCCATTGTGCCATGGTTCCTGCTGGTGAAATCCTTGATGTTAGGGAAGAGGCTGTGTGTCCATCTACCTTTGCACTCCAGATCCCATCGGTTTTGCCACTGGTGCAGGAGATGGTTTCTCAATTCTGCTTTGATATTGTCTAATTGTCTTTTTGACAGGGTTTGTTTGTTTGTCTGTTTTCGTCCTCAGGTACATTGTCCTTTTCCTGGGACCTTTTAGGTCACTGGGGGGACACTGGCCAGTACTAAGGCTGCACTGTCGGATACCGTGCAATATCCTGAGATTATCCTTAGAGCCATCCTTCTCTGGATCTGTGTGAATTTCCGCCAAATGGACTCTTTAGTTAGCGCATCTATCCACACTGGGGCGGCATACAGCATTTTTGAGTGCACTACGGCAGAAATTAACCTCCTTTTTGCTTTCACTGGGACCTCCTGAGTTCAGGCATTAGTTGGAGGAGATTTGATCCAGTCTTTGCAGCTTTTCCTGCTGATTTTATAATATGAGGTCCGAAGCTCAATCAATGAATCAATTTCCCACCCCCAGGTATGTAATATGCCGTTTCTCCATTCAATAAGTTCCTCCCCCAGTCGGATCACCGGGGGGGGGGGGGGGGAGGGAGAAGCCTCTCCTTTCGTAATGGACATGGCCTCCGTCTTGTCAACAGCCATCTGGAGGTTTCTTTGGTCCAAACATCTTTTAACCCTGCGTAGTGTTTCGCTGGTCTTCATTTCCAGTAGGTCCATGTTGTCTCTATGGCATATAATCAGTGTGTCGTCGGCGTAGCCTACGAGTCTGGAGTTCTTTGGGAGTTCGATAGTAAGTAGGTTGTCATATAGGGTATTCCACAGGAAGAGGCCCAGTCTTGATTCCTCTGGAACACCGCACGTCATGTCTTCCTCAATCCTATACCCATTAGTGTATATTATTTTCCTCTCACTGAGGTAGTCCTCCAGGATCCTCACAAGGTATTCAGGGATCTTCCTAGATACTAGGGCTTGTCGTTCCAGCTGGCAGAATTAAAGGCATTTTTGATGTCAGTCGCAACCAAGGCACAAACCTCTTACTCCTTTTTGCTGTTTCTGCATGGTGGACTGCTTCTGAGATCGCGTCTATTGTCGAGAGTCTTTTCTAAATCCAAACTGTCTCATTGAAATTTGGACATGTCTCTTTAGTCCTAGAAGGAACAAAGGTCTGAACGATGACTTCCGATCGATTGGCTTGTTACCTTTCCGCATGAGAATTAGCTTCTGAAGTTTCCAACCCTTATAGAATTTCCCTTGTTCAAGACACTGGTTAAAGGCTTTCAAAAGGCATTCTGGGTATTCTTTTACAACTATCCCCAGGATTGCTTTCAGAATTCTGTCAAGTCCCGGTGCAGTTCCTATCTTAGTCTTCTTCATCGTCTGGACCAGTTCGTCCTTCGTGAAGTGGTTGGCTTCGTCGAAGAGGTAACGAGAAGGTCTGCTCCTTACACAGCATTCTCTGCTAGGGAAAAGGTCTTGGATAATTGCCTTAATCCATTCAGGGTCTTCTAGCGCCGTGGTTGTTGAAGATTTAAATTTACCCATAACAATCTTGTAGGCTTTTCCCCAGGGGTCATTGTTCACATCGTTTAATAGGGCCTTCCAGCATTTTGTTTTGCTTCTTTTAATCTCCGATTTTAGTCTTTTGTGGGCCGTCTTGTAATTTTCCCTCTGCAGAATATCCGTTTTAGCTCTTGTTGCAAGTCTTCTAGCTTTAACACATGCTTGACATGGCTCTGCAATAGTCGCTGTCCACCAAAACACCTGATCTTTCCCCTTTTGTAACTTTAAATTTAGATACTCTTATTTTGGAGTTAAGTATTATAATTCCTGCACGTCTGGTCGTGTCCTGGTAGAGGGATATGTCATCAACATCGTGCTGCTCACTGACCAGTAAGACATCCACCTGTCTTTCCCTTGCCGTTTGAATGAAATCTTGGGAGGTCTTTCCTTTGCCTAAATTAATTTGAAGGAACCTAGGCATTCTTTGTTTTACTGAGTTTAGCTTAGTAACTTAGTTCTGCAGTGAAGGAAGGGCATTTATAGCTACCCAGCTTATGATTGTCTTCTAGGTATTGGTCTTTGCAGACAATACATTGAACTGGCCCTCTGCAGTTGTTGGCCAAGTGTCCCTTTTTGCCACATTTGTAGCATACTTCACTTCTATTGGAGTCCTTGCAAGAGGTGGAGATATGGCCAAAGCCTAAACATTTAAAGCATCTGCTGACCTGGTGCTTCATCCTAACGTGGCAAGTAAGACAGCCAATCTCAAAATTCTCTGCTTTGAGTAGAATTTCTGCCTGGCGCGAAGGGAACAGTGCAGTCACTACCTGTCTGCCTCTGTACACCTTGTATAGTCTCCAGGTCGCCGGAGGGAAGTCCCCCTTAATGCGTGTGTCAGCATCTCTTACCAAATCTAGGGTAACAGACTTATCGATGTTCCTTAATTCAATTAAGGTTTTGAGTTAAACGTATTGATGTTTACCCTGTCTCCTATTGCACGGGTGATTGCTTCTTTTAGGGAAGGTGGATCACAATCTTTCTCCAGGACTATCAGGAGTTCATTTTTACATGTCCTCCAGATCGTCTGGATATTAGCAATATGTTGCTTCGGGTCAACTGCTTCCTTCATTCTTTTTAATATTTTGGCATATGATTGCCCTTCATTGGCTGTCGGTTTGATGGCCTGGTTGGTGGGTCTTCTGTTCCTTGCCTTGGGGGTTTGATTGCCTTCTTTGGTGGAACTCTCCTTTTTCTTCACTGTCTTCATGTGTTTTACTTCCTGCCAGTTCTCATTGGGGTTTTGGTTTGGTTTTTCAGTAACCAGGTCTATGACTTCATCCTGCTTGTCTTTCTTGTCTGGCCTCTTGTCTTGAAGTGGACTTGGAGCTTGTCTCTTCTTCTTCTTGAACTGTGCCGTTTTCACCGACTTCTCATTTATCTGTTTGCCAAGTTTGGTATTCTCAACCTTTTTGTCATTCTCTAGGAGGATTATTTTCTCTTACATCTCCTTTTGGTCTTCTTTAATGTTTTCCCACCTATTCTTTAGGGCATCCACCTCTTGTAGAGCTATAGCCAAGGTGTCATTCACTATGACTAGGTTGTTTTTCGGGATGTTGCTGCTGATAATTAATTGACTCTAGACGGGCAATAATCTCCGAATTGTCTTCCATCAACTTTTGAGTCATCGCCCAGCCCCTTGCATTACTATCCCCTGTCGACGTGGACTCTGCTTGGACCAGGGTTGCCTTGTCTCCTGTGGGTACACTAGTTGTCGTGGGGGTACTTGGAGGTGATCTCCGCAGTTTTGTCTTCCTAGAAAAGGGGTTAAAACCTGCTTGCTCTACGCGTTCGCTTGCCGCAATATAGTATTTCAGATACGCCAAGCGGTCCACGTCTCTGAGAGTGCACTCGCTGGTTGATGCCCTCCGGGGGCCTGCTTGCCCACTCCCCGCTGCCGGTACTGGGGCTCTGAATCCCTGCACCATAACGGTTGATCCTGACGGACCTTCCATCGTGGGTTTCTTTTCGGGGTCACCTTCCCCTAGCATTTTTACGCTGCTGCCAGCGTCTGGATTTGGTCCACGGATGGTATTTTATTTCCCACCTACCCTCCAGCTTGGCCGGTAAGAGCATTCTGCGATCCGCCACCTGGGGACGCATTCGATAGGAGACCAGCTACTCTCACGGAATACTTATTATATTTGAAGTTGTGTTCCTGGGCTCCACCATGAATTTGCTGTGCAATCGAGACTGATATTTTTGAAGTAGCCTGGTAAAAAGATAGAATTTCATATGAATGGCATTGTATCAAATGGAATGGAATGTGAAAATGAATGCCAAGAGTTTGTTATGCGATGCAGGTTTAACAAGACAGCACAGAATCTTGGTTCAACTCTGTGAGTGTGAATCTGCTTTTTGAACTGTTTCTCAAACAGACCATCAACAAGTGCAGAACAGGTAGAAAATCAGGTAACACAGATGGGACTATTGCTAGGTGGCATCTGATGAAAGATAAAGAACAATGCAAATTCAATGTGCAATATTTTTAGAGAGACCTAAAAAGGCAAATGATGTTGCAGCATGGAAGGTGAACAAAGCATACACACACATTGATACATGTGAAAATATTGAGAGTATTCACAAAAAACATTATTATGATTTTAAAGAACACGAAAATGATAATTCAGTGATAGGGCTTAACATTTTTGTGAACATTTTCTAGTCTGTAAAGTAATTTGTAATTTTATTTTGACAAAATACTAAGAATTTGTTAAAAATTAAAACCAATGTCAGGCCTCTTCAAAATTCAGAATCAATTTACATTCAGATAAATACGTTCTATCACTCTTCTTTCTGTTCAGTCCTCCCATACTGGGACGTCTACCAACTTTTTAGATCCCTCTGAAAGTTTTCCATGTTGAATTTGTTTTCGTTCTCCATATAATGCCACCTAAGAATATTCCCTTCTGTGTAACCAGATTTTCTTCCTGCTCCAATCCTGTTCATGGCCTCTGATTCTTTAAAGTTTCTATTTTGTTCTTTAACAGAATATGTAGATTTGCTCTGTATAACTTTTGTGTGATAGTTGTGAACTGCAAACTTGTTCTTCCAATCTGCTGGTAATATGGGTAATGGTTCCATGTTTGGAAAGTTTTTGCTAAGATAGTTTAGAAAGTTTCAATGTAGTTGTTTACATAATTTAAATCTTGTTTTTATTTTTATAGCTTGTTTTGTCTTCACTTTTGGATGATCTTTCAACTGGAAGATTGAAACCTACAGACTTCAGTGCAGTGTTGGAAGGTGTAATACCGTATACTGAAAGGCACTTCAAACGTCTTACGAAGCTTTCTCAGGATCTTTATTTTCTGCAGTATACACTGTCATGTATGAACATTCATTCCGAAAAATCAACTATTGCAACAGAAAGAACACTTAAAGGAGAAACATCTATGAAATCGACATGAACATTTTTTCTATTATTTTGTTAATTGTTTTTTATAAAAACATGTGGTTATAAGAGATTTGTCATTGGATGAATTAGTGGTATATGTATATAGTATGCATGTATGTGTGTATTATATTTGTTTGTGTGTAAATATGTGTGAGTATTGAATACAAAAGAATTGATACATAGATGATACATGAATAGATTTTGATTTTGATTAAACATGACCAGTTTGTTATGTCTTCGTTCAGATTGAGTGTGAAGTCACTAAGCGTAAAATACTTTTACAATTATGTATTGTCATAAAAAAATGTAAAAGGTGTTCTTTACCTTTTTTAAATTTTTCTTATATGTGCTTACATACAAAGTAATATGTGTAGTATAGACAAAGTAATGTAATGCTGCAGAAAATCTATTTCAAAATTCAACAGAAATACAAGTTTGAAGGTTCATGAAAAAGTGTTTTTTTGTTGTTTTGTTTAAAACATCTGTCCGTGTGTGAACATACTAGTGCCTTAGCCATATATAAGGATTATTTCCAAATTTGGAGGCTTTTTACTTGAAGTACCCCCAGAAGTTTTCTCAAAAAGGCTCAAAATTTTTTCTTAAATTTCTTGTTAAAATAGAGTTAAATACACTTATAAAGGTGGTATAGGTTTCATTATCACAATTAACTCTGAATTTTTGAACCTTGTAAAATATTGAAAACTTTTCAGCATTTTCCTATAACTACGAATTGAAGATAGAAGTTTCTCCTTCAAATGAAATTGTCAGTAGTTCATTATCAATTAATTCATTTTTTTCAAATTTTTAATAGTTTTTGCATAATATTTGCAATTTTAAAAAATTACAAAAATAAGATCTTGTCAAAAAAAATGGCTCCAAATTTTTTCTTTAAACTGTTGGGAGGGATAGCGCTAAATGCACTCTATAAGATGACATAAGTGCCATATTGCTTTTTGCTTTTTTCTTTTTTTTCTTTTTTTTTCTTTCTTTCTCCAAAAATTACAAAAATGTATTTTTTTGTCATGTCTCTCATGTTATTAATATTTGCATTAGTGGCAATTTGTTCATATTATTGTATTTATGAGTAAATTTGCTTTAAATAATGTCATAAATTTTTTCCAAAACCCTAGTTTTCTGCTAAAATGAGCTCACAAGTCCACATTTTCACAAATGCTCAAATACCATTTTCTCAAAAATGGGTCCAAATTTTTTTTTCAATTTTTTCCAACAGTGTTGATTGCACTGTTCTAAATAATGTAAAATTAATTTTGCTGTATACTTTTTGTTTTTAAAAAATTACACAAATGTATTATTTTTCAAATTACTCTCATGCTGTTAATATGCACATTTCTTGAGATTTGTGAACACTGTTGCATTTGCAAGGTAAAGTACATCAAATGACTTCAAATGAAGTTTTTAAAAAACTCCAAAATTTTCGGTGAAAAAGAGCTTCAAATTTCACATTTACAGTAATGTTTAAATGCAGCTTCTTAAAAACAGCTCCAAATGTTTCCATGAAAATTGACATTTATGAGGAGGTTTTACTCCTCTTTAATATTCATAAATTAATAATTCGGTTCTACCATTAGGAAACCGAAAATATCAGAAAAATGTACGTTGGGCGGCAATAGATGGCACCTAACGACAGGAAGAGGCAAAACCGTTAAGCCATTCCACACCAAGACAATTAGGAAACTTTACTTGAGCAAAGTCTGTGTTATTTTGTTGCACCGCTAGTTTTAAGTGCTGGGCATGTTGGTAGTTAAAGGGAAGGGTTGGGACTCAGGAATTCAATAAAATGTACAAATTTAAATTTCTCCACTGTACTTTTATTGGTTTTTATAATTAAATTGCAATTTGAACCATGTTTTGACTGTTCACATTTTTTGAGTATATGACCCCAATTCTATTTATATTAGATAGTAATTTTCTCTGTTGAAAACTTGTGGGGAAACCCTCAAAATATTTTATACGTCTGGGAAACCGATGTTACCTTCATTAACAAAATGAACACTGATTTTTTTTTTTTCCGAGAAAGTGTGGCTTCCTTTCGACTAGTGAATATTTGTGCTACTAGATGTCGGTTAGAACTCAAGCTAGTGCTGTTCTCATTCATCGCTTTGTTATATCAGTAATACACATATTCATTTTGATCTCTGCTACTAGATGCCGGTAGCTAATTGCTATTGTTCATGCAGCATTCTTTCGACTGATAAACTTTGACGCCCAATCTTTGATTTAAATGGAGTGGCATCTGGCGGATCATCAAGTGGATGCGGTTATCTAATTTCGAGGTTTGTTACGACTTCATTCCTTAGTATTGAAGCTCCCGATTATATAACGTACAGCTGACGATTGAGGAGTCCTGGACTCTGAAGAGAAATATACTCTCTGGCCCAGGGTATGACAATGGTTGTTATAATATACTTGGAATTTTATTTCTTGGCGCGTAAGGGCCGATCATTACGTTTGAATTTCTCACATATTGCGTCTTTCTCGGACGTGCCACTAGATGTCGCATGATCGCCAGCACTGCCCGTTACGGTCGCGATTTGTGGCCCTCATGCACCAGGAAATAAAAATCCAAATATACTGTGGCGACATCCAATTTCTGAAATACACCCAGACAGAGTGTATTGGAGTAAAATACTTTGATTGGAGTATATTACGTTATACACCACATTATATGTTATATACTCGCTGTTACAGAGATCAGGAAAAGGTGTTGGCTACAAATTTTGCGTGGAGGTTAAAACATCAGCTGTAGAGTACCCGTTGCTTCAGCCCCATGCGATGTAACCAGACAAGTTAATCTTGCGGTGTTACGTTAACTGTACTGTATTTATTGCTAACAATTGTTAAGGTTAATTGTAAACAATGTGTTTTTCTCTTAATTAGAAAGTTTTGTGTTTGAAATGAATTCGACTCCCAGATGTTTATTTCGTGATTGGAGGACTTTCGCCTGTTCTCTTCGTTTCCAGTCTTCAGTAAGAGGTTCAGAAGACAACCAGTTAAGCGGATGGCGAAAGAGTTTTAAAGAACGAGGTGCATGGACAAGCAAATTTGAACTATTTTCTCCAAAGACTTCCAGTGAAGGACTACTAATGCGAATGATTCGAGCTCCCATAGACCTTCGACCTGGAGTTATAAAACGTTGGTGGAAAAACAAGAAAGAAGAGTATAAAATGTTCGAGCAGTCATATATACCAGATCGACACGAGATTCTTGGTAATGACCTTGCAGCAGCTCATTTTGTAATTTATAGGGGAGGTAAAGTAAAATTTTCCAATGATAATAAGTGGCATGCTGGAAAAGAACATGGTCTTCCTAATCGAAAGGAACCTGGTTATGATTTGGAAGCTGTGGATGCCTCGGATGTGAACCTATATTACCAAGGGTTGTTCAATTTCAAGGGTTTGAAATATCTGAAGTCCTTGAGGTTAAGGAACTGTAGACATGTGGATGATTGGTGTTTAGACTATATTAGTGGAGAGCTCGGAACGTTAGAAGAACTGGATTTGCAAAATTGTCAGAATATTACTGAAAGAGGTTTAGCATGTTTATATAGATTACAACATTTAAAATGTCTGAATGTCAATGGAATACCACAAAACAGAAGTTTTGAGTTGACATGCTTACTCCTGGAAGAAACAATTCCGGGTTTAACAATCGAAGGTGTAGACTATGTTAAACAGTAGCTGATGCTTTGTTTTCCAGCTTAAATAATATTAGATTCTGTAATAAATAAATGTGTGTTTCTAGTAATTTCTCATATCATTTCTTAGCATGTCTGTTGTCATGCATATCCTTCAGTAAGGCTGATAGGTCCCTATCTAATAATGCATCCCATACATATCTCTAAAAAATTTAAGATTTAATTTAAAACACAGATGATGAAATAGCTTACCCTCCATTTCTCTCTAGCAAATTAAGAGCTTACGAAAAAATCTGTACAGGTAATGAAATTTAATTTTGGTCCAGAAATGTACGAAGAGATCACCTGCCATTAGGCATTTTTATTATTGGTGACATTTTTACTTTCTTTATTTTATTAGTAAATTTCCATAGCCTAAATTTTATATGTTGCTAACTAAAAACTCTTCTTGATTGAGTAATCATCTACCATTCGTTAAGCATTTAATTCTGTTGTTGTTATTATGACTTTTATTTTAAATACAAATTGCACATTATAGAACTAGCAAATACTTCGCAGATGTACACTGGTGTTCGGTATTCAATTTAAATTTGCTGGGCAGGATAGGAATCTTCTTAACTTCCTACTGTTTGTGAAACCTTTTGCTTGTGCAGATAATATGTATGTAAGCTCACTTTGTAATTAAATTGACAATTAGCTATACAGCAAAAATGTTTCATTAAACTGTTAAGATATTTGTGAATTTTACCTCATAATTCATAACTTGTTGCATCTTATGATTCTTCTTACTTCCACCATGAGGAATTATTTACCTTGGTCTCGAAACCGCTTTCACACCGTTTTCTTTACTGCCTCGATGCTGTTGAACTTGATGTCATGCAAAGCTTTCATTGAACAAAACAAAGATGTGAAGGGGAAACGTCAGTACTATTAGGAGGATATTGTATGAGTTCCCAATCCCCTTTGCTTATAGTTCCCAATGTTAGTTTACCATAAGAGATCGAACATTGCCTCGAAGGTGAAGCACGCCTTTTCTCTGCAATCCCCATCGGTGTGCACATGAGGGGGCTCCTGGGAGGGGTCTGAAAGTTTCAAAGGAGCCCGAAACTTTCTTACATAATGAAACATTTTATTTCCATAAATATTTACAATTCTTGTTTTCCAAGGCTGAAGATTTGGGGGAATGATACATTTGATGGGAGACTCCAAACCATCTGGTAACCCTGTAAATATAAAACATTTTTCATTTTTAAAATCAGGAGTCTATTGATTGTCATTAAAGTTATAGTGGGAGCGAGCTATTATTTCTAAGCAGGGTGTTTCTTTTTTGGAGGATGGCATGCAGTCAGGCTTGTGTTAACGCATGGGTCCAAGACCAGGACCCCCAATGCTCAAGGTACCCAGGTTGTTCTTAAAAAGAATTTAATACTTTTTTAAAAGTAAAATAAAGAAACATTAAAAAGTTATACAAGATTAAACTATACACAAAAAATGGGAATAATGGAGTGATGTGCCGCACATCATTGGATCATATTTATAAAATGGAATGTTGCAGGTTGATACGAGAATGTCACTCTTTGTCACTTCTCTCACACTTTATGAGAAGTATTTTTGTTTTTAAATGAGGGTGGGGGAGTTGAAATTAAGAATATGGGTTTCCCAAAGCAGTGAAAATGGCCCTACATGCAGTGTTTTATCCCTATCGGAGACCAATGGACTCAAGATGCAACTCAAAGTCTAAAATTCCGCCATAATACTAATGTTTAAAGTATTAAACAATATGCATTATTGTAGAATGAGTATACCTTTCATTACAAATCTCAAGTTTGTAGAAAGTTCTTGTGTATGGAAAATGAGTAGAGTAAAGTGTTTTTTTTAAAAGTTATTGCTGCAGGACTTAGCAAGCACTTTGACAAGTCCCCTTATTACTGCAGGACTCCTTTAGTCAAAACGATATTTCTAGCCTTACTGGAGAAATGTAAGTAATAGACTAGTAAGAATTTGATTGAAATTAACTTCCAAAAAGTACTTTAATTTTCTAAATTTGAGACATTTGTGCTATGACTCAATGGATTATATTAATTAAATATTTTGATTATTTATTTTAATTAAAATAAAATCAAAATGAATTAGCACATTTTCATTTTGTTTATGAGAGCAGTAACTTACTGCTCCACAAATAAACTAAATGAAAAGGTCACGTTTGGGTAAATTAGGTGAAATATTTATAAAATTAAATTAGCTCATTATTTTCCACTAAATTATTGTAACTTTTGTTTATTTTTGTTTCCATCATATTTGACAGTTTTCATTTTTGTATAATTGTTTAAAATAATATTTGTTATCACATAACAAACTCTCAAGATATAACTCTGTAAGCTTTAAACACAAACAGAATGGAGGTCAACATGATAGTTACTGGATACAACACTGGCAATGCAATGTTTTGCAAGCAACCATTTTTGTTTGAGATGTATTAGAAATGTTTCTTCAATTCTTTTCTATTTATTATGAACACAAACACAGTGAACAAGTGGGGGGAAAAAATTCTTGCATCTGATGGGATATAGAGCCTCCTCTTTGAACATAATCAAAATATTGAAGATCACTCACTTCACCTTTCGATTCAATTATTGCCTCTGCCGAGTATCTACACTGTTTTGCAGCAATAAAAAAATTTTATCAAATACAATTATTAATGTTTTCCAGAATACAAAATTGTCACCACTTAGCGATATTGCCTGCTCCACATACTCAGAATCGTAGACTAGGATAAATCTCCCTATCGTGTTGTTTGACCTGTACACACATGTATCTACTCAACATTTCAATTTGTGACCACCTTTTAAGAATTAATGACTTGGTCAAAATCCATCCTAAATCTTTGGCCATGAATTCCCTGCTTTTTTACATACATTTTCACTTCTAGATTTGTGCTGATGGCTCTACTACTTACTACACTAGGAAATGTGTATTAATCAATTTTACTTTCCTCTATACATACCCATATACAGAGTTAAGTTAAGTAGTGCTGCGCAAAAAAAAAAAAAAAATCGTGTAGTCAGAATCCCTGTTTTGGGACCTTGATACCGAAAAGTCAATTAACGGCAAAACTTCCTTCTGTGAACACGACTAGCGCCTAAACCATGCGTAGGTTTTTTAAATTGAATTGAGGAAACCCCTCTCTATCTGGTTAGAGTCGAAGCTTGGAGATTTTGAAACCATTCTTTAAAATTTGGGGGTATTTTACATGAAGCCTGCCTGAGATGGGGACATTTTCCCAAAACAACTCCATTTTCTTTGAATTTCTTGTAAGAAAAGAGTAAAATACACTTATTATATATTATAAAGGTTGCATAAGTCCGATTTTCAGGTTTAACCCAGAATTTTCGAAAATTTCAAAATTTTTAGGGCGTCTTCCTACAATTACAAAATTGAAGATAAAGGTTTTCCCTTCAAATTAAATTTATTGTCCATACTTAGTTCCTCCATTAAAGCCATGTATATTTTTGTACAACTTTCAGTAGTTTTCGTGCAATAATCCGAACAATATTTGCAATTTTAAAAAAGTACGAAAACAAGATTTTCGATTGAAACGGATCCAATTTTTTCTTTTAACTTTTGGTAGAGATAGTGCTAAATATCCTCTATGAAATGACATAAACACATATTGCACTATTTTGTTTTTTCAAAAATTCATTTTTTTTGACTTGTCTCTCGCGTTGTTAATATTTATATTTATTATTATTTATATTAGCAGCGATTTGTTCACATTATTATATTTATGAGTACATGTGTCTTAAATGATATTTAATTAAAATTCTCGAAAACCGAACTTTTTCGGGGAAAACTAGCTCAAAATTTCGCATTTTCAGAAACGCTCAAACACAATTTTGTTCAAAAACGACTCCAAGTACTTTTCTTCCAACTTTTCGAAAGAATAATGCTAATTGCACTTTTTAATATGACGTAAAGTTCATTTGGGATATTTTTTGTAATGCCAGTAATGCCGAAAATTGTCGTATTTCCTTTAATTTGTATTTGTGGTTATTGTGCGTTAAATGCCTTTTAATAACGTTTTTCGAATACTCAAAAATTTTCTGGTAAAGAAAGCTTCGAATTTTCAGTAGCACTTAAACGTTATTTTCAAAATAACGGTACCAAATTTTTTAGAGAAAGTTGCCATGTAGTGCAAGGTTTTACAGTTCTTTAATATTCTTAAAATAATATTTCCGTTCCATTTTTAGAAGACCAAAAATTGAGAAAATTCACAAAAAAGAAGAAAAAACTGTACTTTGGCCGGCGATAGATAGTAGCTGGAAAAAGTATGGCAAGTCCGAATATCTTGCCGAAACCAAAAAAAATAGAAAACTTATACGGGAAAGTCTGTGCCATTTGTAACACCTCTAGTTTCTTTAACAAAAGACCCAAAAGCACTCACTTCTATTCTTCAAATGCTTCACCGACCAGTCTCGTAAAAAAAGTTCCTGATTGTAGTTACAAAGTGATATCCAATCTCTTCCTAAAAATTCTTTGGACGAATCCAAAAATCTATTTGGAATATCTCCTCTTTTCGTGATGTGGATGGTTCCGAAGACGGAACATCGGGGAAAATTCACAGTCCTACAACGTTCATCAAGTTTGAGTACTCAGCAGAGGGATTTCAAAAGTTTCCTTTATTCCCTCGGTATTCTTCTCTCTGTTTAATGTGGTCTGGAGAAAAACTGTTTTCTGTACACCACTTAACTTGATGTTGGCTTCCAAATTTTCCCCGGAATGGCGCGAAACGCAAATCCATACCTTTCTCGTTCCCACACTGTTTAGGAAGCCGAATGTGGATATGAGTCCCTCCTTTAAGGCACTATCGTAATTAGAACGACAAAGTCACACAACATCGACGTGGTATCTGAAAAACAAAGCACTTCAATATTGCTAAAATTTCAAAATCTATATCAGAAGATTTCAACGTGATTATAAGTGAGGTTACAACCACCACGTACACGAATAAATATTACAATATGCAATAACAAAATATAAATATTACATTTACTTACCGCTGGAAGTTTTCTTATACTTGAAAGAACAGCTATGTTGAAAGTGTCAATTTCCCCAAAACAATCGTAAATTGCAGGTACACTTACATTCACGCCGGGCAGGCAAGCGGAAAGAACGAACAAATGTGGGCGACGCGAAGCGAGACCACTGGATTACCTTACTGTGTTAGGAAGTATTTATATTCCTAACATTATAATGGTTTTTTTTCCTTCGATTTTCTTTGGATTTACCAACCGTGCCAACTGAGCACATTTCGCCACTTTTAAGTTTTGTCTCGGACGCTCTTTCTGTTCCCTCAGTTGTGTTAGGCGCATAGTACAATCCCAGTATCCCCGGCCTTCTAATCCTAATCTAGTCCCTTTCCCTGACCAGTAAACGTCTCTAATCTGTGTAGTATCCCCCTATAAATGTGAATGACGAAACGCATTCCTGCACCCACATGAAACGCACAAGCACGGAGATAAGACCATGGACACATAAAAGAACTGGAGCGAGATGGACCTAAGGGCTATTTCGGTGTGATGTTGGGAGAGCCTGACGGCTCCTCACTAGGAAGAGTCTCCAGGAAAACGGTGTTGATCGCGGGAGCACCTTTTATGTTTATCAGGCACCGATAGATGGCAGCTGGTAAGCGCCATTCAATATTTAGTCTTAATGTTTTCCTAATGTAATGCTTGAATTTTCTCAAAGTGCTGGATTATTGCTGAAGACCTTATGAATATTATTCTAAATCACCCGGAAATATTTATGTGTTACAAAGCGGTGAAAAATTGATTTTGTTTTTTGACTTGTCGGGTACAAATAACTAAATACGAATACATGGTTTTCGGGAATAGGTTTTCGAAATCGGAACTAGTTTGTTTTCTCTTTAGTTGAACTCTGTACTTTTAATCCATCCTAGTCAAAAATCATCCCCCCAACGCAATTTGAACGTGTTTTTAGCTTTCTAATGAGATTTTCAAGTTCAAAGAAGCTTGGAAGAATTCTGAAAAAATCGTATTAGACTCTCCGGAGAGTTTAAAGAAGAATGGAGTTATGCCGATTCATTCATAAAATTAATTTTCTGTCGAAAAAATAAAATATTTGGAAAAGAGCAAAAAACACGATTTTTCGTTCTACAAGTCGAAGGTAGCGGTAAATCGAGATTGAAAATCGTTTACGCTTTTTAATTGTTTTAAACACGTTTATCATCCCAAAAAGGCATTAATTCACCGAAACCATTTTTAGTATCTTACCTCGAAACAATCTTGAGCTTGTGTTACATATGTGTGCAGCCTCGTATATTTAGATTTTGGATTTGGCGCTACTGGACTAGGTGAGTTACGATCCAATGGAAGTTTAGCGACTCTTTGTAGATATAAGCTGTGTGACTATTATCCAATCAGAAGCTTCGATGTGACATATTTTTCGTTTTGAAGCTCCTAATTGGATGATGGTTTCTCCCTCTCCTTTCATTTCTCGAGGTTGTCGTGGTTTGGTGAAGAGGACGGTCTGAGACTAACAGGAGACAGCTGGGAGACAGGTTCAGGACAAGTTGAAAGCTGTTTGTTCATGGGAAGCCGAAGTCACGGCTTTTCTGAAGAAAATTTCCCCAATTGTTGATTACGTTTTACATATACCTTTATTGTCCAATAAAATGAGTTGTTGCCCTCCTTGTTCTCAGTTAAGGGCAGTTTTAATTGATTTGAGTGGAACTCTTCACATTGAAGACAGTGCTATACCCGGGACTGTCGAAGCCCTTAAGAGGTGGGCATTTTTGAAAAAAATTAAATTAAGCTTTTAAAAGAAAAGGAAAAACATCAACGTATTTTGAGGCACTTGTGCTCTTGAGACTCAAGTATTTTTATGGAACATTTTATTGATTGCTATGTGTACGTTTTAGGTTAAGATCAACAAATCTCAATATTAAGTTTGTTACTAACACAACAAAGGAAAGCAGACAAGTGCTTTATAACAGACTTTTAAAACTTGGATTTGAAATAAACAAAGATGAAATATGGAGCTCATTGTGGGCTGCACGAGATTTACTTGCAAATCGTAAGCTTTCTCCATATCTGATGGTTGCAGATGATGCATTGGAAGATTTTGCAGATATTGTTGATGCAAGTAAACCTTTTGATTCAGTTGTTATTGGATTGGCTCCATCAAAATTTGATTATACTCATCTCAATGAAGCATTCAGGTACTGTTTTTGCATGTTGGATGGATTTTATATTTGTCTGGTTAAAGATTTAAATGAATGTGCTGAATTGAATTATTTTACTCGATTACTCGTAATTGAATTATTTTATACATTTTGCTCTGTAGTACATTGTATTTAATGGTTGAATAAATGACATGTTCTAGGTTATTGCTAAATGGAGCTCCTTTAGTTGCAATTCATGAGGGAAGGTATTACAAACGTCCAGATGGATTAGCTTTAGGCCCTGGGCCCTTTGTGAAGGGTTTGGAATATGCAACAGGATGCAAAGCAGAAATTGTTGGTAAACCATGCAAAGATTTCTTCAAGTCAGCACTTGGAAATACTGATCCCTCTGCTGCAATAATGATTGGTGATGTGAGTTTTATGCTAATTTTTTGAAGAACTATTTCTTTTTAAGTGTAAATTGTATTGTTTGTTAATTATAGTTTTTGGTTGAAATATTTGATAGTAATTTTTGTGTGTGTGTGTGTGTGTGTGTGTTAACTCTTTTATTTCACTAGTAGTAAATCATTTGTAAGAACCATAATGAAAAATGCTACAATTAATGCACGCTTTCAAAAGACATTAAGATCTCTTTAATTGTGTAAACTGCATTAACATTTTAGTAAATATTTGAGTTACAAAAATAAGATAAGAACTTTGAAATATTGCACTTTATTATTGCCAATTAGAAATAAAAGAATTTCATTGTGTTCAGGATGTCCAAGACGATATTGGAGGAGCACAAGCTTTGGGTTTAAGAGGTATCTTGGTGCAAACTGGCAAGTACAGACCAGGGGATGAAACCAAAATTGATCCACCGCCAGCCAAAGTTTGTAGCAGTTTTGTTGAGGCAGTTAATTTTATTTTGAAAGAAATAGGAGTGGCTTAATGACATTTCCAAATTTTAGGATTGTGATTTATCCAACTGATATATATCCTTGTTGAAAATGTAATAGTAGTTGACATTTGTGAGTATACTGCATAAGATTATTGTTTTTGCACCACGAGTGATATTATGATGGATTGAGATGCAAATTGTGTTTGTGTATTAATAAAATGTACATATTTAGACATATTGTGCATATGATACTTGTATATATGTACAGAGAGAATAATAACCCTACTGATATTGATGACAGAATTTTGTATTTGGTTAAATATATCAGAATAAATTCTCTTACTTTATTATGTAGCAGGAGGGAATTTTTCATAGATTTCCTTTTCCTTCATAATCTTCTTTGTTGTTGTTGTTGTTGTTATTATTATTATTATTATTATTATTATTATTATTATTATTATTAACCCACATTTTACTTTTTTCTTCTTTTCTTTCTTTTCTTTTCTTTCTCCCCCCCCCCCCCCCATTAGAATCAATACAGAGTAAGTCCCGTTGTAAATTCATCAGATTTTACTTTCTCAGCCGATATTTCGATTCCAAGACGTTTTGTTTTTGAGCTCCGGAGATTTGAAAGTTACCACGAAAGAACAAAGACCCACTTTATTTATCATTTAGGGGTACTTCTCGAAACGACGTGATGGAAACTTAATGCATACTCGAATTTTCCCTCGTGCCCATTTTAGCACGCGTCGCGCCGAAGAATGTTGACCACTTTGGCCTTGGGCGCCGGTGACGGCACTACCTCGCATGTTGCGTAAGGCTGCGGGACACCATGCGGTCTGTCCCCCTCCCTGGCCATTGCCGCATATTTGATTTGTATAGGAGCGATTGAGGCTCGGTTCATTACGCAGCCCGTATGAGCCTTCTGCTGCTGCCACGAGAGCATCTGACAGGCGACGGGCGCATATATATCCCGGCGCACGACCCGGCTGCCCGCAGAGCGAGGTTAACCAGCCGGCGGGGAATTTGGACTTGACGCACGCCCCTACTGAAGTATGGTTCTATATTAGTTCGTAAATTTTATTTTTTAGCATTATGATTATGGATGATTCTTATGAACACCTCTTTTGCTTTTGGGTAGACATTGATTTGATGTTAATACAAATTAAGAACACTATATTATAAAAAGAGTTAAATAGAAATAAATCTTGTGTAATAGAATGTAAATGTGAACTCGTGTCACATAAGATTTTTCTTTCTTAGGCACGATCCCTTATTAGTATACCAGAAGTATGTGTGGAATTTGGGCACTCTTTGGTCTGGGATCTCAGACTTCTTTTGAAAATAATTCTGCTTTCTCCAAAGTATGGCATAGAGGGCCAGATGCTTGGAGAGTTGAATATGATCAAAAGATGAAGGTAAGTTTTTAGGTGTTTTTTTTTTTTTTTTTTCTCCTTTTCTATAGTTTGGTTAGACACATTTATCACTTTTGATATTTATTTCTGTTTAGAACTGTTTTGTGGGCTTTCATCGTTTGGCCATTGTTGACAGTCTTTATGGCATGCAACCTATGAAACTACATGCGTATCCTCATTTGACTGTACTATGTAATGGTGAAATTTACAACTGTAAGCAGGTGAGTTACTACTATTGATTTTCCTATCTTTGAATTAAATCTGCCCAAAACTTCACATTAATGGTATTAATGGTTTCAGTTGAAGGAACAATATGGATTCAACTATGAAACTAACTGTGATGTAGAATGTATATTGCACCTTTACGCAGATGGTGGCATTGAACATTGTGCCAGAAATTTGGATGGTGTGTTTGCATTTTGTCTTATTGACAGCAAGGAGAGCAAAGTCTTCTTGGCTCGAGATCCATATGGTGTTAGACCAATGTTTAGATTGCATAGCGAACTTGGTATTCTTGCAGCATGTTCAGAGGCCAAAGGTGAATTTATATGTTCGTGTACTTATACAAGCATTACAGTGAATTATCTGATACTAGCAGGTTTTTATAAATTACAATAAAATCTTATGTGATCAGGCTTAATGGAAATTACTACCCAACTTGGAGACGGTGCATGGAAGATGGATCCTTTTCCACCTGGTTGTTTTGAAGAATACAAGATAAATGGTGATGGCAAAGCGACTGTCATTCAAAAGAAACCGTTTTATAATATTGGGGATAAACCTCTGTTTCGTCCATTTGTTCCTTTTGATGGTTGGTTGATCTCGTTTTCTCCACTGTGGATACATTATTTTGTTTTGACATTAAATTTTCTTTCTTTAAGAGAAATATAAAAACAAAATTGTGTGTTGTTATAGATTTAACAAAAGACATACAGTCCAACATAAAAAGCTTATTGACAGCAGCAGTGAAAAAACGTCTCATGGCTGACCGCCGTATTGGTTGCCTTTTATCTGGAGGTTTGGATTCAAGTCTGGTGGCTTCTCTTCTTGTGAAACTTTCTAAGGAAGAAAATCTTCCTTACAAAATTCAGGTAAATATTTGAAAGAAATATGCATCTCTGTATCAGTTGTTTTGACATTTTTAACTTCCCATTGTATTGATGACTCAGATTTATGCAGACTACATATTTTTATTTGACCTTCATGTGTATTATTGAGTAGAAATACTTGCTTCCCTGTAAAACAACTGTATTTTTAATCCATTTACATGCTTTGTTTATTGAAATTTATATAGTTATAGTAATACTATCAATAACCTTGTTAAAAGCTTTATACCTTTCGTCTGTTAGAGTTAAAATGGGTCTAGTACCAAAGTGAGGATAACATTGGGCAGAGAGAGTTTATTTTCATGTTTCTTTTCTTGAAAATACTTTGAAGCCTTTAGTGAGCAGTAATGAAAGTTACTTTCATATTGTAGTCATTTGCTGTTGGAATGGGAACAAGCCCAGATATTATAGCTGCTCGACAAGTTGCACAGTATATTGGGACTGAACATCATGAAATAATTTTTACTCCAGAAGATGTGAAAGAGGTCCTTGATGAAGTTTTGTATCACACAGAAACATTGGATATTACTACTGTTAGGGCATCCGTACGTAAGTAATGACAGTAATTCTTTAATCTTGTATGTAATGTCAGATCTTTTATATTGTAGAGAAGATGAAATGTTTAAGGAAAGGGTTTTTGAAAATTATATTGTATTTCTTATATTTCTTTTTCTTTTATATTTCTATTATTTCTATTATATTTCTTCTTCTTTAGAATTATATTCTTCTAATTTTCTTTTGATTTTATCAATTTCTGCAGCTATGTATATACTTGCTCGATATATAAAGAAGAATACAGACACAACAGTCATATTCAGTGGTGAAGGAGCTGATGAAGTGGCTCAGGGTTACATTTATTTTAGAGATGCTCCATCAAGTGCAGCTGCCCACAGTGACAGTGTGCGCTTATTGAAAGACATTTACTTATTTGATGGCTTGAGAGCTGATCGGACTATTAGTGCTCACAGGTATTCATCACATCTTTGGTTTATACATTCCACAAAGTGAACTAAGTTTTGTCCCTTAAATCCAGTTACAACTTACTTATTTTGTTTCTTCTAATATGGAAAAAAGCTGGAGAACAATATGTTTTTGGAGCTGTGGAAAAAAAACAAAACACACACACAATTCTAGCTTTATAAATAAATTGCACTCCTTAATTTTTTGGGAATGCTTTGAAAGGTTCATTGCATTGTTATCGGAACATTATTAGCCGAGCAGGAGTTTTGATATTTTATTCATTTCAGCTTGGAATTGAGAGTTCCTTTCCTTGATTTACAATTTACGCATTACTATTTGGGTCTGGATCCAGAACTCAGAACACCAAAGGGAGGTGTTGAGAAACACTTGTTGCGATCAGCTTTTGATGACACAGATCTTCTTCCTAAGTCTATTCTTTGGAGACACAAAGAAGCATTCAGGTATATTTTTAATCTATAAACTTATTTTTTAAGGCAATGGGCTGATTTGCTTCATAACTATCTAGACAGTGGTTGCTGCTGTTACCTGTTGACATAATTTTGCAGTGATGGTGTAGCTTCTGTCAAGAAATCTCTCTTTCAAGTAATTCAAGAACAAGTAGAAAGTAAGATATCTGCTGAAGCATTGTCAAAAGCTGTTCATAAGTATCCTCATTGCACTCCAAAAACCAAGGAGTCCTTGTATTATCGGTAAGTATCAGAATTATTGTTTATAAAGTATATTATGGTCTTATGGTAAAATAATGTTCAATATTACCTTTTAATATCTGAGACATGTACTGATTATACAATATGTTTTCGTATATATGTAGTGAAGCATTTGAGAAAAACTTTCCTGGACAGAGCCACTTCACACCCTATTTCTGGATGCCCCGATGGACTGATGCTACAGATCCTTCTGCTCGTTTCATTAAACATTATGCTGCTCATAAGACAGAGTAATATAATAAAGTGAATGATGAACAATTCCCTATAATTTGAAGGAGAATTTTCCTAGTGACTGATGTTGTTTTGTGACCAGTTTTTGCCTTTTAATGTCTAGTGATTCATCTGGAGTACATACTATTTTAATGAAAATTATCTCGATGATCATGTATAATAGAAATTATACATTTGTTTTTATGTATGTGCTAGTGTTTACTGCAGATGATCAGTATTCTGTTCTTATCAACATAACTGCAGTTTAGCAGTCCTCATTTGATAACAAGCAAGTGCATTGTTGTTAACTTCATTCAGGAAAGTAGCGGATCATTTGTTGAGTTGTTATGAGAGTTTTGTGAGAAACCAAAATTTTGGAATGCTATGTCAGGATTAATGTGTATGGTCTCAAGGACAAATATAATTTGTTTGGGGGGGGGGGGAATGAGTAGCAATGACAAATGACATATCAATTCTGCATTACACAGACAAGGATTGGAAACTAATTTTCAGAATTTCTATATGAGAAAAGAAACAATAAATTTATTTGTAAAACTAAAGGTACATCTTCAGTCTGATTTAAATTTGAAATGGAAGATTACAGGAAGAAAAGATAGTTAAGGAACACAAAAGAGATAATTTAAACATCCAATTGTTTTTTGTTTCCGATTCAAAATGGACATTACCCAATGACCATACTCATTGTCTTTGTGTTTAGAATTGATTTTCTGCTTTGAATGTGCGTTAAATTCACGTCAAGAATATGAGGTTGATATTCACCCATTTTGATGTGATCTTAAAATGTTTTGAGTGTGAACATGGGTGGAAAAAGTCTCTGGGCAAACACAATTGTATTGTTTATCTCTTATTGAAAAAGGAGATGAATTTAATTATTATAATTTTATTGATTTTGCACTTGTTACATATATTTCTGGAACATTTTAAGTTTTTACTTTGGTTACTCCTTCATATTTTGCTGCTTTGACATGTATTAAGTTTTTCTTGACTCTTATAGTGCTCGATTTTTCTAAACAGAAGGTTGTTCAGGAGTGAGAAATGTAAATTTCAATTCGGAACATATGTTTTGAGTTAAATAGACACAATACTGAAAGTTCTCCTGCAAGTTGGAAGTTGTTACAGGGTCATTTTGTGTAAACCAATTTCAAATTGTTTGGAACCCAAGCGGGTTCTGTGTGTTTTATACAGTAAATTAAATGGTTTCCATCCCACTGCTTTCAAATTTTTAAATCAAAAAATATAAATTGTCTTCAAATAAACTTCTTCTGTTTGAGAATAACATGCTGATGTGAATTATTTGCTGTAATAGCACTTTAACATGAAATTTGAGAGATAATGTTTTGCACTTGTTCCAGATACTTGAAAATGTTTTTATACGTATTGTTGTACTTGCATCATTTGGAAAAATTAAATTTATTGACAATGTGGAAGGATTTGAATATATTGAGTGGTATATTTTTATATCTGTTAATTTGTACTCTAGTTATCAATGTGTTTTCTTGTTAGTAAAACATAAGAGGTTGTGCAAGTTTTTTTAAGTGCACTATCTATCACTCTCAATTTGAGATGCTGCTACGTTGCCAGGAATGTTTTAATAAATTTCTCGGCTATCCGGGAGACGCCGCGTCGTTGGCTGGGAGGCCGATGTTTCGCCTGACCCGTCGCAAGCTTCATGTCCAGGCAGTGCCTTGCCCTGAGGAAGCCTGCGACATGTCAGGTGAAACGTCGGCCTCCCAGCCAACGACGCGGCGTCTCCCGGATTGCCGAGAATTTATGGATTCGAGTCGCGGAAGCTTACGTGTACAGAAATGTTTTAAATTTAGAGAATATTTTATTCTAGCATTAAAGACTGTCCCAAAATTCTCCCCCCCCCAATTCACTTGTGATTTCTCCTTTACATTTTTGTTGGAGAAGAGCGAAGTCACGTGACTAACAGCTACATTTTCTCAGTGTCTTAGAGTATTGGTCAGGTAGACAATATTGGTTCTGTTTGCCCTTCAATGAAATGAAAATTATTTTATTTTACTGTACAAGTTACAAGACTAAGCTTTCTAGTTGTAACATCTTTAGCCTAAATTCCAGTAAAAAAACTTATTTTATCATTTTTTTGCTAACGTGTACCGCAGTTTTGATTTATGTACTACAATTTATCAAAACGTGATAAAAACTAAGAAAGAAAATGTAATTTTCCCTTTACTTAGCCAACTTGAGGATATCACTTAAGAAATTTTTTCAACTTTTGATAATCTCTCATATATAACCAGTAGAAACTGCTTTCTTGGTAGCAAAATAATTTTTTCAGATTGCTAAAATGAGATTGAAATGTCTTGGATTTCCCATTGGAAGGATCGTTTGATGTAACAGTAACAGAACGACAAGATAAGATAAATAGGACTGGTTCCTTGCTTATAATCATGTGTGTATAAGAGGCAGCACACAAACGATTGTACATACCTATGTACCTTCTTGCCTTACTACATACTTACGTCGTAAAAAGAAAATATTGTAATGCTGCTGCGGAAGTCAAGTGCGGCAAACAGGAAGAGCCATGGCAGCACTCCGGAATGAAACATCAAATAATTTATTGCTTATTAATTGCCACGTATTTTCGAGGCGAAAACTGATGTGAGCTGCCCTCACGCGGCACCAGCCCACACATACGTTAAATTCAGGTCGTAGCTCGGCGGAAGACCTCAGATGATTCATTACCAATTAATTGCCACAATGTCGAATTAATTGTCAGTATCTTCGTGGCGAAAACAAGTGTGAGCTTGGTGCCAGCACACACATCGTCTCCTATCTTATTTCAGTAGTATACATACCTTTTGCGACTCACAGGCAATCTTTATAAATGAGGTCTCTAAAGAAAAACAATTTCACGAAGACGTGACGATTGCACTTTGACTTTAAAAATATGAAGGATTTGTTGAAAAACACTCATCTAAATATTCATGTCAAATGCAACCCGCGATACTCGTAGCTTTGTGGTTATATAACTCCTATCGAAGTATTCTATGACCTTAAAAACTAAATTTTTGAGGCCAAAGGCCTCAAACTTTATTCACGTAACAGTTTAACTTATGCGTGCGCTGAGGCCCAACTCACCCGTTTTCACCACGAAGATATGTGGCAATTAATTAGCAACAAATCATCTGAAGGTTTCCATCAAGCTACGACCAAATTTAATTTGCGTGTGCTGGCGTCGCGTCAAGCCAGCTCACATTTGTTTTCGCCTCGAAAATGTGTGGCAATTAATTAACACATGTCTGTTGCACCTGCGAAAATTGGCGAATTTTCGATAGAAAAACTCGTATTGTCGGTCAGTGCCTGGTAACTAAATAGTGGATAAATCTTAACATGAAATAGTAAATTACTTTCTCTATCACGACACTGTCAGAATTACATTTTGTTTGTCCTTCGTACCAAAAAATCGATTGACATCAGAACGTCTCCGTCAGTCTGGTCAACGGAAGACCATAATGTTCAGTCGATGTTTTTGAAAATTGATATTCCCTAATCGATCTAAACGAACTCCAGGCTCTGCGAGTTGGAAACGGAAATATTAGGGGATATTTCCAAGATTGTATCAAAAATGACTCAAACTTTTTGATTAAATTTTATTCTCGGATAGCGTAAAGGAAGCTTAAAAGGATGGCGCAAGTTTGATTTCTTTGAAATCCCGAAGTTTGTAGTAATGCCTTGATTTCAATGAAATGAAATCAATGAAGTATCGTCAATTCCAGTATATTTTCTCCACTACCCGGCGACAAGTGAAGCAGTCATGATGTCAATTACCTCCAGCACTATTTCAGACATTATCGAGTCCAAGCCACGTCGTGTTGTGGCACTTCTGCGTGCTCGCAGGGGTCCTACACGACAGTAGACAGATTTTGGCTCTTCAGTGTAATTATTATTGATGTAATATATCTAAGAGTAGACTTTTCATTTTCGAAAAAGTTTGCTTATCGAGGATTGTGATTAGATGAGATTACTATCGTCGCTAGTAGCGCGACAGCATTCTTGTTGTTGTTTTTCCTTGATTGAATGATGAAAGATGCTTCTGTTATATAAGTGAATGATAAAATACTCTACTTGCATTGGCCCAGCCGTTGCGCCACAATCCCTGGATTAAAAAATGAATTAAAATCGGCCTGATGTTGCTTTTTACAATAAAAATTACATTGATGACACCATAGATCTCATTGATAAAGGGGCGAGGTCGTTGTGTTTACGCGTTGAGAATAGGTAGTCGTTTCTAACCAAAAGTAAAAGTCTAATATCTAGTTAAAAAGTTAAGTATCAATATTAGCTAGTATATCGCCTTTTTCAAGTATATCAGTTGATATTAAGTGATAAAACGCGCAATTTCAAAGGAAGAAAAATGCCATACTATAAATTTCCAATGAAAAGTAGTTTTTGGCGATTCCAGTTCATTTTATTCTGTGTTTGCAATCTTATTCCAAGTACCATTAAGATTACCTGCTTCTTTCTGTTGTTTGGACGCTTTCTGTAGGTTCCCCTACAAGGGGGAACCGACAGCAGAAGGCCTTCAGGTTCCTTGGTGAAAGTTGGAAACGTCAACCCGGATCCTAGTTTCTTCGCGGTACTCACGTCGATAGCACCAAGGTGTGTGCTGTGGGAAGGAGAATTCTAGTTGCAGAGTTCTCCCGAAAACCCAACAGTTGGGCCCCTACCCACCCACCTTTGGGCAGGGTTGGTTGCGGGACATCCTCAAGAAATCCGACAGGGTAAACGAATATCCCGCCACGTTGCATAGAATCCGAAGATACGTTGATAGCGTCAAGATGGATGCAGTGAGTAAACGGGCTGGGAGCTCTCGGGCTTCGGACTGGGCAGTCCGTATTTGACCACTTGGCTCCCTCGCGGTGGTGTCCGATACTCAGAGGTAATTGAGTGGGGATTCCTTCCGGAGCATTAGACTTCGGTGCTAGCGCGGACGGCAAGTAGCTCTCAGCCGGAAGATGGCTCCAGCCAGGCTTAATTAAGGAGGTGCCTAGCAGGTGCTGCTCATCCGGATGCCAGCGCAATGCGACTTGTACGCACGCGAAGTGTCGGATTAAGAGCCACAGAGCTTAGGTGCCTGCCCTGGAGACAAAAATCCTCCTGATAAGACAAGGTTAAAGAATGTTTTTTCAAAGTCGCAGAGGTTCGAGACGGGCCAGATCGATCTGGGAATATTCATTTTACACATATGTTCAGGGTCCAATTAATACATTTTTTGACTTCCTCTAGAATATTGTACAACTTCGTTAGAGGTCGTCCATAAATTACATAACGCTAAAGAGGGGGAAGAGGGTTTGAGGCAGTGTAACGCTGCGTTTCTTGAGGGTAAGGGGTGTTAGTTTAGTGTTATGTAACATTGATTTCAGTTTTCGATATCTGGTGATAAAATCACTGTTGTGTGTCTAATTCCAAAACATTAAAATAATAATTACTTTTTAAAAAGCATAATTAATTTAAAGTCATTGTATAATTTGTTACAATAAACGAAGTGTTTTTTCATATTTTTTATAGAATTTGTAAGAGCAGGAAGAAAATGTTCAAAACTGATCTATAGTATATTCTAGAATCTAATTAATTGGTGTAGTAGATTGTCGCTCATGCGTCATCCACGTGTGCACGGCTTGTAAGAATGTTCGCGTCTATGCATCCTTCCTTCACATAGCTCTTCCCAATGTTATTGTTACATGTAGTCAGAATCGCCAATTATTCTGATTTTAATTATAAATTTTAAAATAGAACACAAATATAATGAATACATTTTTTATTTGATATTTATATTTCGTGAAAATGGAAGGGGGGGGGGTCTTAAGCGTTACGTAATTATTTTGGGGGAGTTCACGAACGCGTTATGGGTACGTAACTTTGGGGGGAGGGGGTATTCAAAATACTCCAAATTTTCGTTACGTAATTTACGCACGGTACTTTATCACAACTTCTGTTGTTCGTCCCTTATGATCCCTAGAAAATGAGAGTTTTGAAAGGACACCTGTACATCTGGCCAATGAAGAGAAAGTGAATGCTTGGAGACTATACTACTTCGCTGACTAGCAGCAGGCGAATCCTTAAAAAAAGGAATATTTGGGAAACATGAACAAAAAATCCGGGGAAAAATTAATTATTTTCCTCATCGATTTCATGTTTAGGGTTTACTTCTTTATAGTTGGCCATCGAAACTTTAAGTACAGTTACTAAGAATCATCTTCGGATGGTCGTTTTAAGGGCAATGTAACATATATTGCACTACTAATGAAATTGCTTTCTATGAGTTTGTGGTGTACTTTTGGATCTATAATGAAAATATATTACACATTTAAATTCGTTTCATTAATTTCGCAATAATGACAATTTTTAGTTACCGTCGTACCCCGCACGTTATGACGCAATGAATCGTGTAATGGGATTTTTATGTCAGTGCGTCATTGTTATTTTGTGGAGGAATTAAGCCGTCATGAATGACGTACATTTCATTGCCTACATGATTAACAGCATATAGTAAATATATATGGCGTAAAATGGCTTACACCATTCCCATCAACATTAAGAATACTCGAGGAAAACGTATGTACTTGATTTCAGAGAGTTAA